CAATGGATAATTTTGACCTTTACGTTTAGGTCAATGATTACTGTGATAGATAGACCTAAATCGTACATCAACCATGAAGGTGCTGTCTGGCGTTAAGATAGATTGAAATACCGACTTCGGGATGATGTCGTTATTTCCTAGACTGTTCCGATTTTTGTTGTTGATGTTTAATCATCAATCGCAAAGATATGTTCAGTTTTTCACCAAATGTCCAGACAGGTCACATACCATCGGAGCCTTGCAGGCCTGGTGATGAATAATTATAATATTCATCCTAACATGTACTTCAGATAAGATTGGACATTGTTGTTCTAGATGGTGACGTCATCTTAACAAGGCCAGAAGATCAAACTTATTACACTTTACATCAAAATCACCTCCGTCACCAAACCATCTCTCCCGCTAGAGGGCACTACAACAATTTAAAAAGTATATTTTAATAGTACAATACCAGATTATTTTAAAACAAACTAGTTTGTTTGTTACACGTAATTAATGTTTATTTAAACCTGTTATGAGTCGAGTTTGTTACACGTAATTAATGTTTATTTAAACCTATTATGAGTCGAGTTAGTTACACGTAATTAATGTTTATTTAAACCTATTATGAGTCGAGTTAGTTACACGTAATTAATGTTTATTTAAACCTATTATGAGTCGAGTTAGTTACACGTAATTAATGTTTATTTAAACCTATTATGAGTCGAGTTTGTTACACGTAATTAATGTTTATTTAAACCTGTTATGAGTCGAGTTTGTTACACGCAATTAATGTTTATTTAAACCTATTCCGAGTCGAGTTAGTTACACATAATTAATGTTTATTTAAACAGATTGTAAATATATATCTGTCTTCATATTTATAGAGTTCTTCGGTATCGAGAAAGATACAGGAAAAGTGTACGTGAAGAAGAACCTGACCGGAAGGTCAAAGTACGGATTTGTTGCTCAGGCCACCGACGACGGGCTGCCAGAGGTCAACACGTTAGGAGTACAAGTTAATATTTTCGTGCGTGAAACAAACGACTTTCCCCCGGTGTTCAGCGAAGAGCGATACAAAGGATACGTTACAGAAAAAGAAAACACGGATCGTGTGATAGCAAAGGTAATCGTCCCGGTTGTTACATGCCGAACTTCTACCATGTCTCTTGTGACCTTTCCTGTTTCGTTACATAGAAGGACCCAGGTTTACTGAGGTCTGTAACTAAAACATTGGTAAAGCTCAATTCATATCTTGAGTCCGTGTGCATGACCATCTCAGACTATTCATCTTATAGATCATATTGAAAAGCAATGTTTGGTTTTGGTTTTGTTTTTGAAAGTGTATACTAGCACAAGATATGTTCCTGTTACTACTATATTCTTATGGTTGGGGTCAACTCCTGAGAGAGTAAGAACGTTTCAATAACCATCCTGAGCGCAATTTCCTTTTTGGCAGTAACGGGACGAGAACCAGAGAACCTCAGTTACACAGTTCATCATGTTAACCAATAACTTATCTCAACTTATAACAAAAACTGTATTTCCTAAATGAAAAGTGCCACTCATTTATTTGTTTGCTTCTGTTTACCTAACCATTAACAATCTCAAAATATATATTAGATAAAATAATATATAATAACCAGTGAAAACACATAGCTGGAGTATTATCACACAATCTCAAAATCTATTAGATAAAATAATATATAATAACCAGTGAAAACACATAGCTGGAGTACCATCACACAATCTCAAACTGATGATTCTGGTATGTTTAGAAACAGAGATGGAACATCATCCCGAACACTGATGACTCTGGTTTGTTTTGTAGAAATATTCATGTTTAAAAACAGAGATGGAACATCGTCCCGAACACTGATGACTCTGGTTTGTTTTGTAGAAATATTCATGTTTAAAAACAGAGATGGAACATCGTCCTGAACATTGATGACTCTGGTTTGTTTTGTAGAAATATTCATGTTTATAAACAGAGATGG